TATTTGTAAGAATAAATTTTTATCTTCGGCGTTTTATCGTCTGCTACTTTACTTTAACTTCGTTTAAATCGAATTGTCTAAAACTGAGAACTTCGTTTGATGTTTATTTGAATTTTACAAAAATATTTTATGACATTAACTGCATAATTTATTTCTAAACAAGCTGTTGCTTATGAAGTGGCTGAAAGAGTGGCTGATACTATCATCCATATTTTTAAAGCACAGTATGTTTTTTATAGAAACATGAGTTAGAATAATCATTTTTATAAAAGTCAAATTATGATATAAACATACAACCCTCTAGAGACTGAATTAATGGAAGTTCAGTGGTTATGTAGAAATGATCTGCAGCTATTTAATGGCCAGATAAGTCAGCATGTTCTGTGGACAAGTAAGAATAATTATATAAACGACACCCAGCATTCTGGATTCTATTAACAACGAGGGTGTGATGTTTATTAAAAGAATTTAAGAAGTTTTTAAACATAAAAAATCAACTCATTTTTTATCCTAAAATGTATTATGCGTAGCGTATTTTCATTATAGCCTTAAAATTCTAATTTAGAATGTAATTGTCAAGAACTGAATTTTAATCATCAGTAATATAATAAGCAATTATTACGGTTATTAATAAATCCTTCTTATAAAGTAATTGCAAATATTTCAAAAAACTTTCTGTCTGAATGCAAATATTCTATAAATTTTATATTAATCAAGATTGCACATGATATTATATTTATTTGCACTTCAATTCTTACCGTCAGCTTCTAGTAGAAGTTACAAATCAATTATATTTAATTAATTAGGAATGACCATTAAAGTTTAGAAACAGTGTAGTACCTGAGACAGCAATGCCAATTATTGGCGCCGTATCTTTCATGTTACTCCCGATTGGCAAGCTATATGATTTTTAATGAGTATTCGGGTTTTGCTAGTAACTTCACTTGGAAATCACGCTTAAACTAGGTTAGTTGGTTATTTGAACATAGAAAGAACATGGGAGCTATTTGATTAAAATGCTTTCATAGAGAACCTTTGTAAAGAGAACCTAGAGAAACTACGAAAACCAGCAGCCATGCAGCCTGGGTTAGACTTCGCAACAAACAATTAGTATTTAACAATCTCCAAATGCTAGACAACTGGTGAGGCTCCAATTAAATCTTCAATTTAATATTTTATTTGTAAATATTTAAAATATTGTTGTATTCTTAGACACAAAAAGCAGAATTTAAGTTTTGTTAATTCGTTAGTAAACTACCAAGCCGTAGTGCAAATGAATATTCAATTTCTTTTGCAATAATTGTATTCACTTAATATTCTTGGAATATGAGCTAAAGAAGGAATGTTCTTGGAAGATTAAAGAAGTGTTTAAATCCAGTGATATTAGGTTTGTCTTACAAGCTCAGAATCAAAACGATTCTGCAATTGCCCGAGTAGTTGACTTGTAAATGGCTGTGAATTAAGCAGATGACTTTTAATCTTACGTTATTCAGTCAGAAAACGTATTTCAAATGTTTTGTATTGCATGACAATGCATCTTTTCATTATTCAATAACCAATTGGAGAACCGCTTGTGTTCCAAAAATAAGTATGTGTACTCAATCGTCCTGCATGTTCTTCAAATTTGTCTTCTTGTGATTTTTTTTCTTTCCCCAAAAACTAAAGTTGCCTCTCAAAGGAAAGTTTTTTTACATTGAAGAGACAAAACGAATATGACATCTACTTTTAGAGGCATGTCAAAAACAGATCTCTACAAGCCTTCTCTTCCATTACATGTTGTGCAGTTCAGACAAACGTTGCATCAGCGTAAATTCTATAATCTATTTTTATTACACTCTGATTTACTTTATTAACATACAGTGAATATATACTAAATCTTTTACTTTAGCTTAAGTAATTCGGAATTTTTAACGGAATTGTTGTCGGAACTAGGACTTAGAAGATAAGTCAAATTGAATATTTCGATAATCCAATAAATTCAAGGTCGAAGTTTCAATATTTTATTTTTGGAGGAAGGGAAAATTTTTTCAGTTTTGGTCCATTATCCTAAGTAGATTTACTTTGATTCTTTATTTTTTCCATAAAAGCGGAAATCTTCGCATAAGCGGAAATGCATGGTATACATATAACACATAGCTTCAAATTAAATTAAATAAATATACATCAGGGTGGTTATAATAAAAGTTCCACTTGAATGGTCTGGAAAAAATCATAAACAAAATTGGTAACCATGTAAAGGAGTCAGGGGAATTTATTTTCCGACGTTAAACTACCACCAGGGGGGTGGGTATTGTTAAACGAAATATGGGTGGAATCTAACTTTAACCTTTTGGTACATGGGTTTAATATGTGGTATACCCTTAAGAAACTTTGAAATAAGCAAATTACCATTTAAAGGCATTAAATTTGATAAAAGTGCGCCATCTGTGTAAGGGAGAAATTTGTCCTTGAAAACCACGAATTAGCGATTAGAAAATGTGAGATCGCAAATCCCTCACACAAGTGCGAATTTATAATATTTTTTAAGCCTGAATTCGGTCCTAAAACATGAAGATACTGATTCAAACCCTTTCAATCGAATTGGGCTAAAGAAATCCCTCATGTTATCTACCTAGTTCAGTTCCATTTTCTCTGAATAGCAGTCGATAGCTGGACCACTGTTATTGCAGCTCGCATAGAGTCAATGTTAAAATGTTTGTGATACATGAACTGCAGTAAGTGGCATTTTAGATACTAGATGTTGATTTGCGTAGTTACCGCAAATCAGGGCTATCTGCCTGAAAAGAAGGATGCCTTTGTGAAGAAATTTGTAAGTGAAACCAGTTGGAATGCATGTTACACATGACAAAATCCATGAAAACACCCATGCAACTAGCCCGTTTACTGGTATTCGAAACCCGGAGTGAACTACCAGTGTTCAGCGACTTTACCACTTGGCCGTTTGTGGGCCTTTATGAAATGGAAGGCAACTTTATTTAAAATGATTGTCAGAAATACCAAGATGTTTTGAAAAAGTTGGATGCTTTTTAATCCTACTGCCGAATGCCTAAAGAAAAAGAGCAAGAATGAAGCTTGACGCCTGCCGAAGAGAAAAAAAATTTTTGCATAAAAATTTAGTATTTGTACTTTTTTAAATTTAAAACTTTTTAATCTTATGATTTTGATTCTTGCAATTTCAAAAGTAAAATATTTGACTAAAATATGAATAGCATTTTAAGAAACCAAATGTAGGATAAATGTGTGTAAAGCAACAGCACAATGATAAAACTGTTTAAAGCAGTGTATGCAAGTCATCCTAAGTTTAAATGTTGGTTATACATCTCTCTTATTTATATATATCTTTTCTGAACAGAACATTGAAAGGCATATTAAGTGTGCTTTACTGTATTTTCTCTTTTAATATATGCAGTTTTCAAATGCATCGTAGTCTGGGTTACAAATTATCCTTCCGAAAGAAACACAATTCAAATAAATAAAATCAAATTTCTGGAAAATTTATATTAATAAATATATTTAAAAATGCTCAGTTTGAATGAATAAATAGAAAATTTTAAAATAATTATCTGAAGGGACAATGCAACACTAACAATTAAAATAAAAGTCTAAAAATTAAAAAAATTACCTAAAATAGTAACTATGACTAAAAATATAGTATAAAGAAAACTATTTGAAAAAAATAAAATAAAAGATGCACCTTTGATTTAAACTACGCAGTTCGAATGAGTAAATAGAAATTTTTAAAATGTTATTCGAAAGAATCTATGCAATGTAAACAATTAAAATAAATTCAAAAAGAAAAAATTTATAAATTAATAACAATTATAATTAAAAAGTAAGATAAAAAAACATTATTTGAAGAAGGAATATTGAGTTTTTTTCCTGCTTACGCACAATTGTGTAAAAATGGAAATGAAATAGGTTGTCACATATTAAGAAGTTCGCCAATGAACTATTTTGGCGCAAACTGAATAAAAATCGCCAACATAAAATGTTGAATTTCTCTGTAAATTTGCGCCAAATTTACAAAAATTTAAATTTAGGCGTAATTTGAGTTGTAGAATCGAAAATATGTAAAAAAATTGGTATGTTATTTCAGAAAAAAAGTCCATTTTTGTGTCAAAATACCTATGTTAGAATAGTGCATATATATAATCTAAATTTATATCCTATGTCGCGCTTTCGAGACATGAAAAACACAGTTTGAATTTTGTCAATCGGCCCAGTAGAATGGGAGATATAGAACTGTCCCATTTTTTTTTGTTTGAGCAGTGTACTTTCATTGGATTCTCTCAACAGTAAAATGTATGATTCACATTTAGCAGTGAGAATGAATTGCAAGATTAGTAATATTAATCTATTTTTATTGAATTATTCTGATACTATAAATTAGTTCAGATTCTAAAATGTTTGCAACAGTTTGGAAGTATGTTTTTGCATTTCTTATTTTTTTATCTATCACACTTGTAAATTTAAAATATCATTGATACTATTAAAAGTACTATTACTGTCTTTCAAATCAAATCGAAATCCATTTAATTTATTACAGAAAAGCGATTGCAAATTAATTTCCTTTTTAGCCTTGTGTATACTTTTTAAAGGGAAATTTAGGTGTGAATTATTTCTTTAAATTGGTTTCTTTTATTTAATTAAAGGCAAAGGGTATTCAAATAGCAGCTGAATTTTTAAATAGGACTCTACCACTTTGTTTCAGTAAACTTAATGTAATGTCAGTGCATCATTCCTCAGTGAAGTGTTTATTTTCTTTGCAAAATTAAAAAAATATGCTAATTTAAGCAATCTCACTAGTTTTATGTTGTGCATTTGAAGCAACTGAATTCTGCGTTTAATTTCTTCATTTTATTACAGATAATTTCATCTGAACACACCTGAACCCTTCAGTATTTTTTTATATCAGAAATTGATTGAGTTTTATAAAATGATAAAGTAATGATTCTCATTTTATGATTGTCTGCTTAGTCATATGTTTATTTTTCATCTAGGAAAGACCTTCTTTTGCCCAAATCTTGAAAGTGCTAAGCTCTATGCAAGATGATGGTATTTATCACTTCCTACTTTAATACTTAAATTTTGAATATTTTATTTATTATATGTGTTTTATATGTTTATTTTGACAGTTTCATGTAAAGTTATTGCCTGATTGAGAAATGTTGGTTATTAAAACTGGTTTGAATGATAGAAATGTGTTCTGCAGCTTGCTCAAAATATACTGGTATTTGTTTGAATAGTATGTTAATGAGCTCAATATAAGCACCACTGGTAGTCTGGAAGATTTCTTGACACAAGGGCCAATTGAAAAGTTTTGATTTTGCCTTTCTTTCTTCATATTATACATGGCAATTCCTGTACTGGGTTTCATGAAGATTATACATGGATGTACAGACGTGCCTCAGTATATATCCTCTTTGAAATGCATCCTGTTTGAACATAAAAATTTTTGTTTGGTGTATGATACAGTCAAAAGTCGTTAATTCGGACACCCATAATCCGGAATGATCTATAATCCGGACCTCAAAGCTACAAACTTTCTGCGCATGCGTCGTGTTGACGCATGCGTGTAAGACCTTTACCGCTACGAATTTGCGTGTGGCTGCGTGCGCAAAATACGTTTATGAATGCGCGTTAATGTATAACGGACGGGATAAGCTAAGCTAAAATTATCTAATTATCTATTTAGTTAATGTTGCAGATTGCGTTGTCCTTAATCTTCGAATTGGATCCGGATTATTATTTTTGCAGACTGTTAGAGCAATTTTATAAAAGTAAGCTTGAAACTTTCGATTTTGTCAAATAGAATTTCCGATATATATTTACTAATATGTAAAGGATATACAAAGCGAAAGTATCTTTCGGAGTCCATTAAACAAAAAGTGGAATTGCTGCAAAAAAAATGGATAAAGCATATTTGTTAACTAAACTTAACTTTATCTAAAACTTTAACGTTTGTTTATCTAAACTTTGTTTATCTTTAACGCTACGGCCGCGGCGTGGCAATGATCTGTCGCTATCCTTATCTTAAGGGCAGATGTTTTTATTTTATTTGGGCTTATAATTGCTTACTCAATGTAGTATTTCATCTCGATGTACTTCATCTTTGATATGATTTAAATCAAATGCCTCGTCATTATAATTCGCTTCCGATAGCGAAGAAAGTGACAGAGGTATTTGAAAACGAAAAAATTTCGATTGACAAATTAGTCGGTATTCTCGACACAGCAATTATAGGACTTGAACAGCGGAACTTGTAACTGAACAAGAAATTATGTCTGTTTACAGAATTAAAGAGAATGTATTATCACATAAAAAACGAATCAACTTAAACAACTTACATTGAAAGAAAGTTTAATAAAGTAAACAAATAAATATTAAGCTTTTTTTTTTGTGTAATTTTGATACCCTTTAGATCATAATTGTTCTTTATTTCGTAAATTACGGTTTTATATTTTTAATTTTATAATTTCTGCATGCCATTTTACCAGATTTAAACTGATGATCTATAATCCGGAATCGCCGAAGTCCCGACGAGTCCGGATTAACGACTTTTGACTGTATTTGTTTTGAATATGACTTCAATTCAATGAGTCACAATTGTGTGCACCATACTTGTTCATCTCTTTCAAGAGAGTGCTATGTCTGCCCATGAATATCATGTTATACCTTCATACCTATACTACTTGGTAAACAACCTGCGCTGTAACTCTGAACTTTTATGTGATTAATTAATTAATTATTATTATTATTTCTTAAATTCATTAACAGTGAATTTTAGGAAAGTTAATGAGAAGAGTCAAGCAATGAAGAAAATGGTTAGGATCACCATTGAGTTGAAAAAAGAGATTGATAAAAAGTGTGAAAATGGCACACACTTTCGAGACTTGGTTGTTGCGCATTGTATGCTGAGTACGATGGTGTCTATAAGTATGCCAAACAATAGAGTAGTAAGTTGGCTTGTAGAGTCATTAGGATGTTTTTGGAGGCCAGAGAGATGAAAAATTAACAACGCCTTTGCCGGGAATCGAACCACAGACCTCTGGAATACCAGCCCAGCGTGCTACCGTTACACCAGGAAGGCACGCTAGGGAAGTGGGAGAAATACCTTATATACTCCCCTTTTTAAAGGGCGACTAGGGTTTTGGGGGACCTAGTTGCCAAATCCTGGGTGCAGAGAATCATCATCCACAACCCTTTTAGTTCGGGCACTTCTTGTCATTAGGATTTTTTTGGAGACTGGAGAGATGAAAAATTAACAACACCTTCGCTGGGAATCGAACCACAGACCTCTGGAATACCGGCCCAGCATGCTACCGTTACACCATGAAGGCACACTAGGGAAGTGGGAGGAATACCTTATAGGCTAATGTTATAAAGATTACCAAACAAAGATCAGAGATGTTAGAGCATGGCGAAAAATTGCTTTTGATCTGGATAGCAGAAAAACATCAGTGCTTCATTTACATACAATATATATTTCACCCATTGCATTTGTATTTTAGAACTAAAAAGTATTATAATAATGACAATAGCATTTTTTTAGGAGAGTGGATTTTCCCTTTATTTTTATATATTATTTTTGGAAAAGTGCATTTGATATACATCCAAGGATCTGAAATGAATGACTGACATATATTGGGGTACCACTAGTAACCAGCGATTGAACTTGTACGTCAAGTTTATGTGATGCATAGCATGACTAATGGACATGGCACTAATATGCAACTCTTTAGCAAGCTCTCGAGTGGTTGCATATTGATGTCCTTCCACAAGTTCTCACAGGCAGACCTCATCAGCATCAGTAGGCTGGCCAGAGCACTCTGCTTCTTGAATGTCATAGTCCTTGTTTTTTAATTTTCAATACCAAACCTTAATAGTCTCGTATGATACAACATTAATAGCTAAAGTTGTGCACATGATTTGGTGACATTCTGTAGCTGACTTGTTGCAACAGAACTGAAAGTAAGTGATGGTTCTAATATGGTAGCATGCTAGTTCCATTTCAGACACCTTGTACTTATTGATAATGATACTTTTTTTACATATTTCACAACACATTGCTCTGAACCAAGTCTCTTTCTTTCAAATGCCAAAAATCATTTGACAGAATATGATTAAACATGCCAATGTGAACTCTGTGCAGATGATATTTGTGGTGGTGATAAATTTTCATTAAAGCCTGATATAGTATGAATATTGTAATGAACTGTTTAGTCATGCATTAGAACTTCATCAGTTATGGATATCAGTACACAGTTATGAATAAACAGTGGATTTATGTAAATAGAATGTACCATTTCTGTAGAGCCAAGAAGATAAGATCAGGTTTAATGAAGAAACAAAACATTTCCCTCTTAGATAGTGCCTATCTGATTGGTGCAGCTGTGGTGTTGGCTGCACTATTTCAGTTCAATCTGTCAACACTAGAATATGTAGCACATAGGCTAGACAATGAAAAAATTCTGGGTATTAATTGCATTGTCAAGGCAACTGATTCTTTCATATAAGGAAGTAAAAAATACCATGCTTACAGTACTAAATAGGATGTTACAAAACAGGATGGATAGGATGTCATTTATAAAATGCCATACAAAATGTGATTCAATGTAAAGGACTTGAATTTTGGGGGAAAAATAAAAAAATACAGGCAGTAGTAGGATCTTATTAGAAATAAGAGAACCAGTTTTACTATCATTTTTCAATCAACCTACATTTATAGATGTTACCATGTCCATAGCTGCCAACTATCCCAGTTCTACTCTGCAATCCAGTTTTTCCACATCACCTGATCTCCTGGTAAATCTCTGGATCTTTTTTTTTTTTTTTTTTTTGTAAATTGTTTGCCTTTAACTAGGTAAAAATACAAAAGAACATATTTCTCAGCAATAAATTAAATGTAGTAAATAAATGAAATTTAAAGTTTTTGAATTGTGCTTTGTTAAATTTAAATATCAGCTAACCAAAAAGATTTCTGCAGATTTTCAATGTTCTTTGTTGCAATATCCGATATGATAAAATACACGTGGTCGATACATATGCATGAGCAATAAACATTAGACAATTTATAGGTAATGCTTGCTGTCTGGATATTTCGAAGAATTAGTTCTCATTGTAGGAAGAATGTTTTAGTTTTTTCCTTTGTGAACATTACTGTTATTTAAGTGTCTGTGAACAATATTGTTGATGTAAAAATTCCATTCTCTTCATAGTGATTTTCAGTTTAATTTTTCATATTAAATTATATTTGATTTGAATTCTCTTAATCTGCTGTAGGTATTCGTAGAATTTTATATGAAGTTTCAACTTGTGTGTAATCACTAATATTTGCATTTAACTTGTTTGACATCAATGTATGGTACATTACTTAGTTTATTTATACAATAATTTGTACATTAATTGTTAATTTTATTTTCGTCTTATTTAAAACTACTTTGATAAATTAAAGCTTTCCTTTCCTTTTTGAGGATTCTCTCAGTAAAAAAGTATAAGCAAATTATAAAATGAAATCAGCTAAAAGAACATAAAATTTAAAATATCCTTTAATAAAATATAATATTAATTGTTTTATAATTTTAAATTTATTCTAATAAATTTTTAATTAATAGAATGAGAATAATTTAGGTATCTATATATTTACATTAGAATCATATAAATAATTGGATAATCTGAGTTGTAAATTTATTATAAAGTGAATTTAAGACAATAGGGAATTCTTATGAAATGCCTCCTGAAAATTGCTGATTTTCATATTTCAAGATTGGTTTTTATATTTCATGCATATATGGCATATTAACTATGCATTTAAAGTTTAACAGAAGAATTAACCATAGTTACGTCTCATGGCAGAATTATTTGTTGTTTACATATTCATGGTTCAAGAAACTTGGCACAAGAAATTCTTCTTCAAATAATGCCCAGTCTGAAACATATCAATGTGTCAAAGAGTCATCACTCAGATTTCTTTTATTTGAGGAGTGATGAAAAATGTAATTATGCCAAAATTTTAATTTGTCATTATTGTGCTTATGGCAGAAAAAGAAGCATGTGCATGTGAAGGTACATGAGAGATTCACTTTTGAATTGCTTCTTTCTTTTTTGTTCAATAAAAACTCACGGTTCTCAACTTTTCAGTACAGGTGCTTAATTTTAACAAAGAAAGGGAAAGTTGTAATTAAAGAGAAAAATTTGGAAATTTGTATGCTGTGGGTGATAGTTGTGTATATGAATGCATATCTTTTTGAATATATTTTGAAGCTATAGTGATTTTAAAGCTGTGGTCGAAATTATGTGCTGTGGTTTGGAGCTAGTGAAGCATTTGGAATAAACTTGAAGGATCTATATTTGAAGGATTCCCAATCAAAATCAGTGTTCCTCATTAACATTTGATTGGCCATTATGTTTAAGGAATTTCCTACCTATACCAGGAGTTCCCAACTCTATGCTCGTGGTCACCATGGCCCCCACCGATCGTTTAACATGTACCTGCTGCTGTGTAAGCACATTTATGTGCATCTATTATTAACTCTATCCAACTACAAATTCACCTAAAGTAAATGGTATTCACCTTCCAGCAGATATTCTAGAATGTGCTCTTAGGGAGAAAAAGGTTGAGGACCTCTGTCCTATATCCTTAAACTTATAAATAGAATTTTAATACCTGTAATATCTGGGGGTGATCTTTCTTATTTTTAAATTACTGAACTGTAATTATTGCATTTATTTCATGATCTACACAATTCTGAGCTTTTTTATTTTCAACCCCTTATCCTTCCTCTATGTATTGGGTTGAAAAATAAGTAATGGCCGTTTTTTTTTTTTTTAATTAAAATTTTTTTTTAACAAAACAGAAAACAATAAATTAGTCAATACTATCAGAGTTTTTGGACTTTCCCCATAGACCCAAGATGTCAAACTATAGTCATTTGGCTACAACCCATTCGTTTGGCTAATTCTTGAGTGGTTTGACGTGCATCTTTGTGCAGAAGTTGATTCAAAAACTTTATCAAGCTCATTTGGTCCTCTGGAAAGAGCAGCATCTTCGAGTTCAAAATTTCCATTTTTGAATTAGGCAAACCAATTTCTTGCAGTTTGTTCAGACATTGCAATTTCTCCATACACTTCACAAATCTCTCAGGCAGCTTCTGCAGCATTGGCACCTCGATTAAATGCAAAAAGAAGAAGGTGTTGAAAATGTTTATTTTTGTCAACCTGACTCCATTTTAATGATCTGAAAAATAATAAAAATTAGTTCAGACAAAAAAATCAAGTATGCCATCTTGTAAAGGGGAAAATTCTCTTTCGAAAAACACATTATGCCAATGCATTTTATTTTTACTGCATAATTTTAAACACAACATAAACGGCCATTACTTATGTTTCAACATAATATATAGCTGCTATTTTGATTTCTTGTCTGCAGCCTTATGTAGATTGCTAAATACAAGTGTTAACAGAAAATATAAAAACTAGGTGCATGTTCCTGTTTCTCAACATACCTTATTTCTATCTCGCTCAGTTATTGATAAATCATTTTTGTTAATTGAGAAAAGTCTCAATAAGAATAGCCTGTTTTATGCCATTTTAATTTTAATCTTTAGCAACTTCTGTAAACCCATGCAAGCAAAAAAATTACATCTCATAAATATCAGCTTTTTTTTGCAATAGCCAGTAATTTAAAATGATTATGTGTTCAAATAATTTTCCTCAGTGTGAAATTTAAATAACAGTTTTTTTTTCATTTTATAAATCTATTCTAAATTTGTATTTAATAGTTGCCTTTTGTGATGAACTGTCAGTGTATCTTAGTCAAAAAAGTGTTTGGAGGTAAGTGTTATATTTTATATTTTGAAAAATTTCAAATATAGTGATTAATCAATGAAATAAATGTGCCTTAAAATCAATTTAATACATTTTTCTTGATTCAGCTTACTCTTTTTAGGTTAAAATATTTATATTATTCACTTGGCTTATGTATTTGATGAAAAGTCTGAGAATAAACTCAGGATATACATTGGAATATCTTAAAGCAAAAATTAACATGAAGTTATTTATATTTTATGCTTTAAATAGTTAGAATCAAGAAAAGTGTTTGTTAAGCATAAACCGTTTCTGTTCTAATATATCTGGTTGTAATAAAAGTTTTCCTCGAAAAGGTCTTCTTAATAAAGTTAGGGGGGGGGAAAACATGAAAGCAGTACCTTTAGTGCGGATCGTAATCACTACCCAAATATATGATTTTCTGCCAATGTTTTAGTAATATTTAAAAGATTTCAGCCCAGAAACTTTGTGGCCATGAGTCAAAATTAAACCAACCTCATTTCGCACATCATGTGCAGAATGCAAAATAGCACTAGCAAGATGCAGCTGCAGGTGGGAAAAAAGAAGTCTGGAGCAGTGATGTTAAGGCTGTATGGTGGATATTGCAAAAGATCTCATTCAAGTCCATACAGAGTCCATCCAGTGAATGCAGACACATGTTGTCTTGCATTGTCTTGATGGAACATTACTTTTTTGTGCTGGAACTCAGTCTGATTTTTCCTTGATAGCAGTGTCAACATGGACTAACATCCCACTGCACACCTTACTGTCAAGACTTTTACCTTTTTCCAAATACTCTTTGGAGATAATACCATGGGAAACCCACCAGATAAAAAGCATGATCTTTTTATTAGTCAAATTGTGCTTTGGTATGTTTCTGGCAGTCTTACTGGGTGCAGACCAATCCCTTTTCAGCCTGTGCTGTTGAAATTAAATCCACTTTCATTCTGAAGTGACGATCCGTTCCAGAATTATGTTCTTGCTTTGATATTTGAGCAGATTAGTGCAGGCCTGACCATGTCTGTCTTTATCTGCTTGAGTTAGCTAATGCGGCACCCAGTGATTAAATTTTTATGTCAAGTTTATGTGATGCATAGCATGACTAATGGACATGGCACTATCGTCTAACTCCTTAGCAAGCTCTCATGTGGTTGCATACTGATCTTCTTGCGCAAGTTCTCGCAGGTGGGCCTCAGCAACATGAGTAGGCCACCCAGAGCGCTCTGCTTCTTGAATATCATAGTCCTTGTTTTTACTTCTTGAATATCATAGTCCTTGTTTTTACTTCTTGAATGAGGGTTTTAATCTGGTAGTGTGATAGCTCCGTTTTAGACACCTTGTACTTAATAATATTTTTTACAAATTTCACAACACAATGTCTGTTTCATTCAAATGCCAAATATCATTTGACAAAATATGATTAAACACGCCAATGTGAACTGTTTGCACAGATGATATTTGCAATGCAGAAAACTTTTGTTAAAACACATTATCAAACTAAAAAAATTCATTCATGAAAGCTACGACGGAATACGAATCATTAAAGACATGGTTCTCGATTTTGGTCTATTCAGACTTTCTAATTGTCTGACTCAACACAAAATTTATTTTTATAGAAAGTCAATTTTCTGTATCCGCAGTTTGACAGTATTCGATTCTCAAGAATCATCAACGATTGTAAAGTTTACTTCCCAGCTGTAGACACCATACCAATAGTTGCATTTAAATATCAAAGGACCTTAAGCAACTTGCTAACTAACCACCATGAAATAGATGAGACAGCAGAATGACATTGTAAGTCACTAATTTACAGTATTTACGTAGATTCTAATCACCAGCACATAATTATTGGCAACCTCAATATCATACAAAACCATCAACTAAAAACACTAATGAGTTATGGTGCAAAATTTAGACCAGTCAGAAACATAACTAAAAATTACTGTTGCAAGACTTTCGAAAACAACATCAACGAATTTATAGTTAAAGCAAGCTATCAACTGAATTTACCCATAGATACCTTCTTAAAATGGAAAGATAAAATTCTTCAACGCATATCCACCGAAATCAGTCACCTCAAGTTTAAAAGTACATTGAATTGGTCGCAACTTACATCAGATATTAAAAAATTAAAAAACTTTTTACTATTACAAAAATAGATAAAACAAATAATAACTTCAGCATTATATGAAAACAATTCACGCAGAAATTATTCATAAAGAACTTTTCAACGCAACTACTTATCAATTAGCCAACCTTACAGAAACATCTATAATAAACATAATTAAAACTTTTCGTAAAAAACTAAGTATTACTTTAAATATAAGCTACAACAGATTTACTAACCTATATGCTCTTCCCAAATTCCATAAAACCCATTAAAATTCAGATTTATAGCAAATGGAAATAATAATTACAAGAAAAATGTAGACTATTATTTTTCAATTCAAATTAAAAATATCTGTAAATTTATTTTCAACGATTGTAACATTAATCATAACTATTGCTGGATCATCCATAATAACACTTCTGTCATTAACACCATTCAAACATTAACATACAGAACATTAACTGCTATGGCTTTGAAAACTTATATACCTCACTTCCTTACAAACTTATATATGATGGTATATTCATAGGTGAGACACACACACATGCATTAGAAATTAGACAATTTGTAGGTAATACTTGCTGTCTGCGATTTTTCCAAGAGTTAGTTTTTATTATAGCAAGAATGCCTTGTTTTGTACTGTGAACAGTAGTATTTGTTTATTGTTATGAGTACAGAATTGGTGCAGACACAACTGGTGTTTGCTGTAATATATGAACTGCATTTGTAAACATTACAGCAATAAATTGCACTGCAGGAAGGTGATTTCAAAAATTTCATTCCAGTAATTCATCACTAGATGGTTCACCATTGTCTACAATTAATAATGAAATACCATTACCCATTAATGATGCTTATTTTAAATGCATCATAGAAAAGGATTCCTTTCTTACTTGTTTGAGAATTTTCCTATAATATAACGTAACTGTTGGAACTATCTCTTTGCATCTTCACCTATTGGAGAAAATGTGGAAGTTAAACAAACGAGTACTGCGGGAATTGATGGTAAATAACAAACTCAAAGACTTCATCTGTTCATCTCTCATCACAAAGAAGAAAGTTGTAGAATTTCTTGCTAATGTATGTTTAAACATGGTTCCTGCTTGCTGATATATGTTTAAACATGGTCCATCACTGCCTGTCGGCAGTGCTTCGTATTCTTCACATTGCAAGGTTTCCACTCATTTCAAAGAAGCTTAGAGTGTGTGGGTGGTGGATTATGCACTTTTTGAAGTTCTTTTCTCAAGGTTAAACCATTATAGCTAAGATCTATAATTGGCAATGTGGATGTGTAAAGCTTTCCTTCTTGCATCAGAAATACCCACACTATTAAACAGGAAGAAAAGGAGCCAAACCACACACAGAAAAAATGTACAGTTTCTGCTTTGGAATTATTGCAATATCTGCTTTGAACTTGCCAATTGATTATCATTATATTTGCTTTGAGAACTACATCCATACGAGATAGTTTTGTAATAATGCACAAATCTAATCACACATAGTCATGAACTTTTGCCTCATAAAATAGGATATTTGTTTTTTTAATTACGTTTCAGTGATTTTTCATATATGTTTTTAAAAAATTATGTTCCTGTGCTTTTTCTCCTAAAATATTAAATTTTACTCTTTATATAATTATAATAATATATGAATTGATTTCAGTGTGTTCTGTCTACCTTTTCATGAAACTCTTGTTTGCAGTCATTATGTTGATGTCAAATATTTCATGGTATATGCAGAGTGTTTCATATTGAATGTGACAAAAAGAATAGCATAGCATAAATTCTGTAATTGATATATTAAGCTGGAACAAATTAATTCTGAAACTACAATTACACAAGTTTTATCTGGCAACAGGGGGAAATGTTCTGGTTACGAAATAGTCGCTTATAGGATTGTTAATCAAAATGATGCCATCTATACAAGAGAAAGAATACTGTGTTTTGGAATATGCAAAAATACCTTCGTTTATCATCATTCAAAGACATTTTTGCACAAAACTTGGTAAAGAACCACTGCATCGTCATACATCAAACAGTGGACAAACAGTTTCAGGACAAAGACTGCTTGCGTAAGAAAATCAGCCTAGGATGAACAGCAGTCAAAACCGGACTGGTGGAAAAAATTTGTTAAAGGTTTTTATGAATTAACAGATGCATTTAATAACGTATGGTATCAGAGTGGTTGTTGCTTGAGTTGAAGGAAGCTATTCCTGGCTTCCTTCTGCACCAAGACGGTGCTCCACTACATTGACATAAAAAAATATGTCAGTACTTGGGAAGTAGTCTACTCCATCACTGGATTGGCCATGCTAGGTCAAGTAATTTGCTATTTCTATTTTAGCCACTGAGCTCCCCAGGTCTGACCCCTTGTTATTTTTGCATAAGGAGTGTTGTTAAAGACAAAGTGTTTGTGCTTTCATTTCCTCAGGACTTGTAGCAACTGAAGCAGTGGATAACTGAAGTTTTTGAATCATTAACAAAGGATATTCTATCATGAGTATGGCAGAACTAGAATACTGCATAGATATTTGCCACATCACCGGATGGGTACACATAGAAACTTGGATAACTGTACTTTCACTGTAAATTCGATTTATCAAAATGAAGTAATTACAGTACTCACAGGTATGCTTTATTGAATGGGGCAAAACAACCCTGTAACAACAACCTGTATTATCACTGCCTGTGAAAAAGTTATATCAATTGCCATTATGATTTCCTGAATAATTTTTTAAATTTGCAAATTTACAAAATATAAGTTCAAACCACTTAGTAAGTAATTAATATTTAATAAGAATTTTTCATTTATTGATTATGAAAGTCTTTTTGGTATATCATAATATCAGTTGTAATAAACTACTTAAAATTAATCTATATAAAAATAATATGCAAGGTAGTAATGATGTAATTAGTTTGAGTATGTCAATGTAAAGAGTTTATTTAAATATGCATTTTTCTGTATAAAACGTTTTTGCAAATTTGGTTAGAAATGTGATAATGCACATGTGCACATTGTGGTTTAATGTCACACTGTAAAATATCAATTGAGTTATTTTATTTAATTTCCAAATGGATTATATTTCATTTGATCAGGGAAGAAATAGAAGCAACTTTAGAACTAATGAAAAAAGCGGAGCATGATTTAAATCAAAAACAAAAACATCTAGAAGAATGGGAACTGAGACTTTTAGAGAAAGAAAAGAAACTTGAGCGAAAGAAAAAATGTATGGTAAGTAACTATTTGTAATATTTTCAGTGTTGTTATTTCTGTGACTTATTCTTTTGATCTAAACATAATCTAGATCAGGTCCATGGATTCATCATAGTTAAAAGGAAAGGTTGCTCTGTCACTAGGTAAGGCCTTAAGCTCCTTATAAGTGACAATATGAATATACCCAGTTCAATTCCAATTTTGATGGAGAACACCCATAAAAATGGATCCAAAAGTTTCTTATCCCTCATTCCCTATCACCAATCGCTAGAAAGGACTTCTGGCCTAATTGTTTATTTTATGTGCCTCATGCCAAAAAGAAATTTTATATTATTGTACAAATATCCATATTTTCTTTGGGTTCAAACATGGGTCACATTGTGTCAGCCAGCTCCCATACAATGCTGAACTGGGTGGCTTTTAATGTGGCAATAAATCTTTGCTCCCCCTCCAAAAGAAAAGTAAAATACCCATAAGGAATTATCTGACCAAGATCATATTTGGTACATCTGCATAACTGCCTGCTATCCTGATTTTTCATCACATCTCCTGATAGATCACAGAATGTTCTGGCTTTTCTATTTTTAGCTTTTGCTAAGAAAAATGTTTCTGAGCAATAAAAGAATTTTATTGAATAAATGAAACATAAATTGTGTCATTCCCCCACATCTTGTGATTTACAGCATAAATTTTCCTGTTGAATTTTATTTTATCTGACGTGTTTTAATCTTTTATAGGCATTTTCAGAAAATTTTATGACATGGTGCAAATCCCATTCCTTTCTAGTGATGTTGAACATAATTTTTCTTATTAAATTTTATTTGACCTGAAATGCCTTGATCTGCTGTAGACACTTTTAGATATTTTTATGAAAATTCAAACAATGTTTAATTAGTTAATATTTGTATTTAATTTGGTTTTGCACCAATAATTGATACATTACTTAATTTATTCTCACCATAGTATATACAATAAATATTAATTTTATTTTCATCATATTTAAAACTGTTTTCATAAATAAAAGAATCTCTTGCCTATTCAAGATGTTCTCAATATAAAACCAAAGAAAATTACAAGGAGAAATTAGCCAAAGGATATAAAATTCAAAATATCTAATTAAATATTGTTACGAATTTTATATATATCTAAATAATCTTAGTGAAATTATATGTGAAACTGTAGTATTTTTTTAATAATGTAACATGAAATGATTGAAAGAGATGAAGATCTGCCAGAAAAATAACATTACAAGGGCAAGACTATTAAACATTGAGGTAATCAATTGGCTATCTCGCTAATTTGATGACATATTGGCAAGCTGGTGAAGGTTTTGGTGACTAGTTTCTATTGTCAAATTTGGCGAGAAATCGTCCAAAAGTCACATGTCTTGGCCACATTTTGGTCCAGTCCCCGTATGAACTGTTATGTATATTGTAAATGAATAATTGTAATTGATCCCTTTATGTAACTGTAACCGTATTCAGCCCTCATATGCATTTGAGTAATTTTGTGAGATGGTAGTTACTAGAGATTTTTCAGTGGCAGGGAAAAAAAACTATAGACTGGCTAGAGCATCAGTTTTTAGTTATTGTCTCAGTTTCAGCGTTGAATATTGAGAGATCTTTGTATGAGCTTCGCCTTTTAGATGCTTTTTACATTGTGCTTTGTTTAAATTTCTTAGTACTTTGAAATGTAACTACTGATTGTACTCTGTGATACTGAGAAAAGCTGTATGAATATTTTTCTGGATGGAAAGTTCCAGAATTGTAAAGTGTTTCTTTTGAGCAAATAAATTTTATCAAGCTATTATCAGTTTTGTTTGTATTCAATTTGCTACAAACCTTTACGCATGCAGCGATTTTTGGTAAGTGCTGGAACTGTGGTGGTGAAGGCCATGTACTAAGGAACTGCAGAACACCCTAAGGCATGGAAAATATGACTACTCCCTGGCAAGGACACAAAAACAAATTAGTAGCCATTTCATGGAATGAAGGTTTAAAGAAGCCCCATTTAAAAGTGCTTCAGATTTCTGCAGTGAGTGGCAGTAATGGACTCCTTATGTAAATGGCATTCCTAGCAAAATGTGACCATCAGTACAGGAGACAATGCTACAATCATGCAAAATGATTTGGCTGAACAACTGGATGGTAAACTTATCTGATGCCACCCTGTGTTGCCTTCCAAACTGTGTTCAAGGATAACATCAACATTGATGGAAAATTAAACACTAGCATTACATTTGCAAGTGATGCATACCATCACATGACATATGTAGTAGATATTATCAACACTTGCACACTCAGATTAGACTTTTTGAGGAAATATAATTTTTTCTGGGACTTTAATAAGCTACATTTTGCTTCTGAGGTCATAACCCGGTTTGGAATAAAAAATGAAGGAATTAAATTGTAGCTCAAGATAGCACAATACAGCAAGAACATAACTTTTATTTCCTGAATCCATGACTGAAAACATAAATTTTCAATACTGCATTATGGAATATCCTAGTGCTAGTACTCTTGGCACTCACTCTTTTACATATATATGACTGTCATCCTGGTGAGAGTTGCCTACATCAATGCTATAACAAAAGTCATTAGGATTATGTGAAATGGTTGCAGCGTGCACTTCAGTAACCTGCAATAGACCACAATCTCTGTGCGTCAGCGAGCCTAACATTAGAATTATTGCAGAAATCACAACTAAGTGATGAAGAGAGGAGTGCTGCAGAATGTATCATTCAAGAATTTTAAGAGGTTTCGTCCCACAGATCTTCTGGCATAGGTTGAACCAGTTTAGATCAGCATAGAATTGATAAAAGGTATCTGTGGAAAGAAGTAATTTTTTACTCTTGATTTAAAGAGTTGATAGTGCCAGGTAGAGATACACCATGGTGACCGAGAAAAGACAACATTTATTACTTGACAAGGACTTTGACAGTTTAAGGTAATGCTCCAGCAACTTTCAAATACCTTATAGAGGTCATGCTGAGAGAAGTCTTTCCTACGAACTTTGTCTGATATACCTGGATAGCATCATCATCATCATCATCATCAGGAACCTCTACAGGTGACGGAGGACGAGGACGCCTGATGTTTAACATAGGTAAACAGGCATATGCCCCGCGTCCTCCACTATCTAGTGGCAACAACTCCCTGGAGCCTCATCAGGCTGCCTCGGGAGTATATTTGGATCTTAATGAGAAAGTTACATGGCCATACAAGGGCGGTTGACATAGTCTACATTACGAGTGATGTGTATGACATTTGAAAGTTTTAGGATTACAGTGGTTACAGGAAATCTAGAAAAAAAAGGGGGGGTGGCATAACAATATAAGACATAATACACATAACAACATTGAATAACCTGAAACACATAACACCCATAACATTTAGACCATACAGTACACATAAAAACACTTAATACACAGAAGATACTCACAGACTACTAAGTAGAGTACTAATAATGCATTCATATGATGCTGTTAGAACATATAATGCTGGGCAGATGTAATACTATGTGACATATAAAAACGTGTAATAAAACTGGTAAGATCACAGGATGCAGAGCAGAGATAAAGCTGTGATACTAGTGAAAACACATGGTGCATGCCAGATATAAAGCACGCGTGTAACATTGCCAGATATAAAGCACGCGCGTATACTAATTAAAACACATGATGCAGGGCAGTTTTAAGACAGATAATAACATAAGTTGCAAATAATTATTAGCAATGAACTTTTGGTTTACATATGAAACAGATGGTAGTATATGAGTAATAATACTTATGGGGAGACAATTCATAGTGCATGAACCTAGGCTAACACATGATAGGAGTACATGATGCAGAGCAAATATGTTAATAGTATATACACATTATACAGAGCAAATATAGAGCTAAATAAAAGACATGATTCAGGACAACTATAATACTGATAAAAACACATGACTTTGGGCAGAGATGATGCTATTTAAAAGCACATGATGCAGGACAGAGATAATACTAATGAGAAACACATGATGCAAGCATAATGATACACATGGTACAGGGCATATGTTATACTAATAGAAACTCATGATGCAAAGCAGATATAATACAAATAGGAGCATATGATACAAATAAATATTAGGGTAAACAGTTGGTGTTAGAACATATGATAGTATGTGTGTAGTAATATTTTAATGAGACAACTCATAGTGCAGGAGCCTAGGCGAACACATGATAGAAACACTTTATGCAGAGCAGGTATGATGCTGGTATATACACATGATGCAGAGCAAATATAGAGCTAATTAAAAAACGTGACATAGGGCAGATATGATACTAATAGAGATACATGAAAATACATTATGCAGTGCAGTTTAAGTTCTAATGAACACGTATGATGCAAATCAGATATGAGAAAAAAAAAAAAGGGCCACATGCCGCTGAGCAGGTATAGTACGATTAAAATCATTTGATGCAGGACAGATATGATACTAATGAATATACATGATGCAGAACAGATAAATAGCTTATAGGCTCATATGGTACAGAGCATATGTTGTACTAATAGGAACGCATGATGTAAAGTAGATGTAATACAAATGAAAATATTTAATGCAGATAAATATTTGGGGTAAACAGTTGGTGTTTCACATAATGCATATGATAGTATATGTGTAAAAAAAAAAAAAAAAAAAAAAAAAAAAACTTATGATTAGACAACTCATAGTGCACGAACTTAGGCTGTCATACGATTGAAACACATAATGCAGTGCAAATATGATATTAATGTATATACATGATGCAGAACAAATATAGAGCTAATTAAATGACATGGTGCTGAGTAGATGCAGTACAGGTGAAGAACGAGTAAATACACTTGGTACAAAGTAAATATGATGCCAATAAATATACATGGTGCAGAGCTGATATGATACTAATAGCAAAGCAGATATAATACGAATAAAAACACATTGTGCAAATAAATATTAAGGTAGACAAAGATACATATGATAGTATATGAGTAATAAGT